TTAGATAGATCTCTAGTCTATTTATATCTTAAATATATAGTAGAAATAGAATATTAGTTTATATTACGTGGAAATCGACTCGGCCAATAAGCGAATTTACTATAAGTTTTTCAATTAATGCTACTATCTTAATTTCAAATTAAGTAATAATACTACTAATAGTAACATTTAATTATATATTAAATTCCCTTATATAGGCTTTTACTTAATTGTATCTAGTAGTAGATATATGTACGACTTCGATATCTAGTATAATATTATAAAACTATTTTAAGATATATCGGCTAGTGATAAGAAAGCTGCTAGACTTAATAATATTATAATATATAAAATAGCTGGAAAGCTCTAAGTAATATATTTAGACTTAGTTCGATATAACTATAAAAGTAATTATAATAAAGTTTTCGATCTCTTTTAAGTCGATTTCTTAAACGTCGAGAGTTAAGGCCTCGAAATCCTCGATCTTATTCTTCTAGCCTTTAAACTCTTAAATATAGAAGTTATATCGCTTATTAATCGAGTTAATAAACCGCTTAGCGAACTTATTTCGAGACTTCTAGCGTTTCTTATCGATATACTTAATTAATTAACAGCGTGTTCTTCTATAGATAAAGTACTTCTAAAAGTTATTTATTTTCGAAGACGATTTACTATAATTACCCTGATTTTAAGATTAATTTAGAGATTAATTAATATAATACTTTCGATTAGTAAAGTATATTGTAGGTCTAAATAACTTGAATCTCTTAGTCTTTATAACTTCTTCGTAATTCTTAATTATAATATAGATATTATTAATTAGTCTCGTAATTATAATCGTCTATTATAGAATTATAATACTATATGTAGGGATATTACTATAAGAGATAATTATCTTATTTCGAAGTACTATATCTAACTGAAATTCGTAATTTAGCCCTCTTTAGATTTAACGAAGTTATTAAATCATCTTATTAAAGATAATCTTCTTATTCTTTTTAGAACTAGCTTAGAGTAAGCCTCTTAGACTAATACTATTTCACTTACGAAGTATAAAACGACGATATTCTTCTCCCTCGAAATAATCTTAAAATTAATCGAAGAGTTATTAAATAGTAAGATTAATTCCTTAATAACTAGAGTAATAATATTGTAATACTATAGATTTTAGTATAATTAAAAATACTATTTAAAGAATCTATTAAGAGATCTCAACTCTCTTATAAAGATCTATAAAAATTATAAATTTATAGCTAAGACTCTCGATAAAACTCTTATTATACTTCTTCTTAATAGTATATAATTTGACTAGAGTAGTAAGTTTCTTACTATAGCCGTGATTTTATTCGATATTAAAGTTTTAAATAACTTTATAAAGCGAGAATAATAGATATAGAACTCGATAATTTAGATTATAAGCTAATATTAAAAAGAGAATTAAAGTAGAATTCTTCAATCGATAAGGCGGTTATAAGAAAAGAGAAATAGTATTCTTTGATTAATAAGATTAATAATAAGATAATTACAAGGAGAGAGAAATAGTATTCTTCGATCGATAAGGCTAATAAGACTATTACTGAGAAGAGTAATGCTTTAATAGAGAACGGTTCTCGTCATTCAATAATTATAAGATTTCTTCTTAGATTATATTCGCCAATAATTCGACTATTAAAACTCCTTATTCTTTTTTAATATAGACTTTATTAATTCGTAGATAATTTTATAAGCTATATTACTAGTCTTTGAAAAGGGTCTTAAAGTTCTTTTTAGCAAATTATCGAAATTCCTTAATAAAGATATCTGAGAGAGACTTTTATTTATTTTTATTGTAGTCTTATATTCTCTAATAAACGAATTATTCGATTCTCTCATTAGTATTTATTAGATTAACTCCTTTAGATAGTATATTCTTTAATTATTATAGAGTTATAATATTAGACGATTTAATTAAAGATAAAAATTTAGATTTCTTATTCTTAAAGTTCATTTTGAATATATGTTATATATTAATATAATATAAAGCTTAATAATATTTAGTATTTTCTAAGTATTTTCTCTACTAAGTAAGAGTCGTAGAAATTATAGAAATTATAGTTCTATTTAATCGAATCGTTATAATAAGCGAAATCGATTAAGTAACATAGAACCGTGTGAAATACCGCAGCGATATCGAAACGAACTTTCTTTAAGAGTATAGCCTTACTAATCTATATACTAGTATTAAAGTATACTAATTAGTATTAATAATATCTAGATATACAGTTACTACTATAATAAGACTTATCACTAGATATAATATTCTTAATAATATCTAAGGAAGAAGGATATCTATGTACAGAGAATGCCTTCATATACCTATGACTAGACCGAATGAGTACTAGTGGTAGCGAGTGTTGAGTCGTTCCAACACAGAGTGAGTTCAAGCACGAAGCTAAGACTTCATACGATCCTCACCCTACAAAGACTTATGATTAGCTTTCCTTCCCCAATTGACAGAGGTCGGTGAGACTTCCAGCGTTTCATCACTCAGCGTGGTACTGAGTGCCATCTTCTACTTCCTCCAATCTCATCATAAGCTCAGTTCCTCATAAACATAAATCCACGATGTCTCCTCACAAACTCGATTACGCGATCTAATTGTGGCGGTAACACCACACTACGCTCTGGATCTTCCATTTTAGAAAACACAAATACCCAATAATGCATCATGGCCCAAAGACAAAGCAGACCGAAAGCCCCCGAGACTTTTCTTAAACGCTTAGTGACCGTGGCGGCAGATTGGAGGGAGGAGGTCGTTTTTCGACAAGTCAGAGTCAAAATGTTGCAGCATGAGAGTATGGCATGAGCAGGAGTCCACTCAACGCTGTGTCCTCTTTGAAGAAATCATTCGAGCCGCTGGCTGCCACTGCTTTCCAACGAGATTGAGCCTTCCACTGGCAGGAATGAAATGCACTCGGCCGTGGACTCCACCGGCTGACCGCAGACACGGCTGAGAAGCCTCATGCATGTTTCCCGCCTTACGTGGCACTACAGAGCCAGTCGTTGGCTTTCTTGCAGTACTCATCACGAGAACAGAGGGATGCTTATTAGGGATAGTACAACGAATGCCAAGTGCAGCTGAGGAATTCCATCGACGAAGCATTTCGATGAGAGAATTTGAGCAAGCCAGAAGCCTTAGCCGCATGCGAAATCCCCTACAAAAGGCGCTCAATCTTTGAAAGTTTTGTCCTCATATCTTGCATTTACCCTCCCTTCCTCTTAGGCCAGGCTACACACTGCCACCGTCTCTCACCTCACACGCCCAAAATGTTATCCTCAACTCGCAGCATCATGGACCAGCACCCGGATCGCGAATCCTTCTACCGCAATCTATCCTTACTCGCCACCGCTGCCTTGGCCGTGCACGTCTCGTGGACATACGACAGCCCCGGCGACTGCGACTCCCTCGCCGGCTGGCTGGCCTCCGTGATGCCCACGATACTGAGCGGGCTGATCCTACTCGGTCTCTTCTTCGTGACAGCCGACGATATAGCTTCGGATCAACCCACGCGATTCTTCAGCCTCACCGAAACCTCTCCGCACAGCGGCCCCGGGGGGGAAAGGATCCGGACATCTGGCAACCCTGATCGAGAAGATCGTCATCTTTTTTACGTCCAGGTTGTTGCGTTTGCAGTGGGCCTGGGCGTCTCCACCGATCTGATTGACGGATGGTATCGGCTTTGTCAGGCCGCGTGGGCCGCGTATGCGAAGAGCCAGCCCCACAGTCTTCTGATTTTGGTGACCGTTTTGCTTCTTAACTTGGGCGTTCTTTTACTCATGACTTGGATGCCGATATTCGGTTTGCTGCAGACTAAACAGGATCTTGGCGGCCGGCTGCCTACCGAAGGTTCTGAGGAGAGGGCTAGGCTGAGGACTCTTATTGCGGCGGCGGAGGCTTATGAAGAGGATTTGCGATCGCAGATGGAGCCGTCACATTCGAAGGTGCAAGTCGTTGGCGAATTCCTGGACCGGTTGCGGAAGTGGCAGAGCAGCGGTCATTGACGGGGGCAAGGGTAAATTCATAATTATCTCAGGCAGTTAGAAACGGAAGTCCTTATACCATAATGCCATGCACCCTCTGGAGCGCGCCCTATCTTATATGACTACCGAGCGACGTGAATACACCGTAATCGGCCCTGGGGCAAGAAAGGTGCGTATAGTACTACGGCATCTCAGGAGATGAGAATATGATACAGGCGCCTCAAGTTGCACATTACCCTCCCTACAATGATATCAACACTGCTTGAGATTGTAAGCATAGCCATTGCGAGTATCAACGTAGAAAGAGACTTTTCGATGAGAAGCAGGCTTGAATGTGTGACAATGAAAGCAATAGGCTGGTTTCGGCTTCCGTGAGCCACGCGTACTAGCTTCGAAGAAAAGGACGAGACGCGACTCAGCGACGAATCGATAATCAGACTGCGTGGAAAGGGGTCCGAAAACAGCGACAGAAAGCGTCAATTGTAGTCACCTTCCCGAGAGCACTTACTGAGTCACCAGCACTGATCCATTCCTCTAATCCACCAGTCCGCAAGGTAATCGTTGTTCACTGACGCCAGCGCTCTTCGCGAGGGAGGTTGTGTGAAACGTGTATCCTTGTCGGAGATTTGGGATGAGTATTGCAGCCTCGGAGAATGTTGTGAGTTCATAGGCACGATAAAGATGTAGCAGAGCTACAGCATCTGAGGAGGGTTTGAAATTGAATTAAAACCGCTGGATGACGATTAGGTTTGCAGTTCAGGTGGCGGATAATGATGACGATTATGCCCCTAGAATGTTGGTTAAGGATGGGAATGCGAACGATGGACAGCGCACGAAGACGGAGGGGTTAATGGAAACAAGAGAGCTGCAGCCACTTGACCTTCATGAGAACAGATTCGATGCTATTTTCGTAACCTGATCGATTCCTGAGTAGTTGGATTGCTGTACTCTCTACACCCACCTGACCATGAACATGAAAATGACGCAAGCCTCCCACCATCTCACTCCACAAGCCCTGCTCCTATAGTCTCGCCGCCGGCTCTCAAAATGACTCTCCCTCCCTGCTCCAACGGAATGGGATCATCTACCTCAACATGCACCCTCGCTACACTTCCTGGCTTAATCAATCTAGGTTTCTTCCCCTTGACAGCAGCACCAGACGCCTTATCCAGCTGGGCCACCAGTTTTGTGACCCTCCCTGGCGCATGCAACCTTCCTTTGTGAACTTCGCAATGCATTGGTGTGATATGCTCGAATGCTAGTATCTTAACTGTGAACGACGTGACGCATTGAATGGGGACGGCAGGTGGGCAGACGACGTCGCCAGATTTCAGGTATTTGGCTTCGATGTCTGCGAGATGCAGTATGACATTCTGGCCAGCTACGGCCCAGTCTGAGGGTTCTGAGTCGACTTCAAGGCCTTTGATGGAGGCAGTCTGGCTGGCGGGCATTATGACAACAGTGTCGCCAATCTGGACATTGCCAGCATCCAGTCTGCCGGAGATAGAAAGGGGATTCTGCACGCCACCACGGAAGATGTCATCAACGGTCATGCGTAGAGGTTTTTCCAGGGCACGGGTGACGGGCTCAGAGGATTCAAGTAGTGAAATGAGCGGAGCGCCGGTATACCACGAAGCTTGAGGGTCTTCTGCTTTGCGGACAATATTGTCGCCTGTGAGGCCTGCGCATGGGACCAAAGCGAGATTTTTTGCTAGGAAGCCTGCGGTTGTGAGGAAGGCGGAGACTTGCTGGGATATTTCATCAAAGCGGTCTTGGGACCATTGAATGGTGTCTAATTTATTGACTGCGATAACGATGCGTTGGACACCCATGCTGCGGACGAGCAAGGCATGTTCTTTGGTCTGGCCTTTGAGACCCGATTCGAAGTTTCCTGTGCTGGCGTCAATGACAAGGACGGCGAAGTCGGCTTGGCTGGCCCCAGCGATCATATTGGGTATGAAGTCTCGGTGACCTGGGGCATCGAGGATTGTGAAGCTGGTACTTTCTGTTTCGAACTTGTTCATGGCAATGTCGATGGTGACGCCACGACTTCGCTCTTCGGTGCCCTGATCTAGCACCCAGGCTAGAGCGAACGATGCTTTACCGATCCTTTCGGCTTCTTTGCGGTACTTGTCCAGAGTCCTTTGGTCGACCACTTTCAGATCATAAAGGAGACGACCCATCAATGTACTCTTTCCCGCGTCAACATGGCCAATTACCACAAAGTTCGCGGCGTTCTTGGGCTTCGACCTTTCGAATTCCGCCATGACATCGAGGTTCTTCCCCTTCACCTTGGGCTCTTCAATAGCAACAACCCCTACGCCTTGGAAAATAGCATTGACGCTTTCATCGCCGGATGAAGGCTGTGGTGGCTGTTTGACCGGCTTTTGGGTTGGTCTTTTAGTGTTTTGCGCTTTTGTGACAACGTCATCAGGGCTTGGTCCTGCAAAATCAAATTCAGCATATGTATCAGGACCTAACACATAACGATCTGAAGTCTGAAGATCATGCTGTTGTGACACTGCAGGGGCGGCAAAGATGGTCTGTGCAAATACTGATGGGTCTGCTGCCGGTGTGATCTCAGGCTGTTTGTCGACGTCTGGACTAGCCAGAGAATCCGACTTCTTAAAAGCCTCCTTTGCTGGCTGATCATCCTGTGGCGACTTCAGCCCTTTTGACTTTCGCCTTGGATATTTCCTCGGTTGCTCGTTCATAGTCTGCTCGGTGATCGCAATCAAAGGTTTGGGGCTCGATATGTCTGAAGCACAATCGGGCTTTCCTTGTCGTGGCTTGCCACTAAGCTTGTCCAGAAGAGCAACGGAGTTTGTGGCATTCTGTCCATCTTCGGCCCTTTGATTCTCTTTCTTCTTGCGAGCCGCAGCTAGAGCAGCAAGTTTGGACTTTGGGGCACCATCCGACTTTGATGAGCCCCCCATTAATCTACCTCGAGGATATAAAGGCTCAATAAGAATTTCTCCACGGCGGTCCTCTGGGATGTTGAGCCACGGAGAATCGCGGAAAAAGTCTGCAAGCGAGAGCTGAGCGGAGCAAGACGATGAGATCTCGGAAGTTTTTACATGTCCTCCAGTCTTTGAGTCTTGCCGCGAAATACCCGATACTGGTCCGAGGCGCGTTTTCAGCCAAAGGCTCGTGACAGGAAGGCTGCAGAAATCTCACCTCCGAACGGTGTCCCACAGTGCTTGGAAATAAAGTAACGAAAGAGACTATCGAGACTTACCATCTGATTTATTGACGTCCGAATTCACCTTCTGTTTCCTCGCCTTCTTAGGCGTCTGTGAATTTGTTTTTTGGCCTATGCATTTTCAATAAATTATCCCACCGAATCGACCGTCTACCATGTCGTACTTATTAAGTAGTTTACAGTCTTATCAACATCGTAGTAGTAATGCCATAATGAATCCTCAATCTCCCTGTCGGTGATGGATACTTCCGGTCCGAGTACATCCCGTACTTTAGCAGTGCCTAGACGTAAGTGCTCTAGGACGTCAGAGTCAGTCTTTGGTTCACAAGCGGGCACCCGAGTACGCATCTTCGGAACGAGCAACAAAAGATATATACCTTTATCCTCGGCACCGACCTCCTCCCCATAATCAGAATCGGCGCCTCCATCGAAGTCATCAAGCTCCTCGTCCAAGTCTAGAGCTTTCACTAACTTGTGTCGAGACATGATCGATGACACAGCAGCTCACTGTAAATTGGAGTAAAGTGTAACGATTGTGGCGAGTACCAAGTCACTACTTACTGACGTGGTTGAGAGAAACAAAGGTGTCGCTTTGGATTTGATATATGTTGTATCGTCCACAGACCGCAATGGGAAAGGTTGCCAAGCTATCAGAATTGCGCTAGTCTGGATGATCCGGGTAATTACTACGTAATCTCAGGGGCTACTCGTAACGAGTTGCTTACTCGAGTAGCTCGTTAAAAATCTTAGCGAGCTAGTTATATATATATAATAGCTATAGTAATATATAATTAAATTAATATTAATATATATAATAAAATAAAATAAAATAAAGCTAAGTTATAAAAAATTAAAGTTATATATATAATTAATTATAAATTTAAAGTTATTATACTTTTTAATTAAATATCGCGAATAAATAAATTAATAATTATAATTATTAAAATCTCTTTTTCTACTTTTAATTATTTAATTATTTAACTATTTTCTATTAAACTCTTTTAATTTTTTTAAAACTTATAATACGTAATTTACGTATTTTAATAATTTAAAAATAATAAAATTTAATTTTATAGTTATTTAAAGATAAGAAATTTAAAATATCGCTTATTAATAACTTATCTATTACTTTTTATAAATTTAATTTATAAATCTAAATCTATCTAATAATAGAAAATTAATTTATTCTATTAAAATTGTAGTTAATAATAATTCTATTGAGTGCGTTAACTAGGAAAGCTAATGACGATCGCTCAGGTATTTAAAGTAAGTTATCACGATCATCGCCCGACTGTACTAGACTTACAAGACTTAGATACGTAAATCCTTTTAAATCTTGAAACATAAGTTCCCTTACACATGTTAGAATGGTGGCCGCTAACGACCTGGTCTTAGCCATCGATCTTAGCTGCATAGGTATATCCTTTGACTACACCTCTAATAGCGAAAAAGACGACGAGGCCTAGTGCTTCGAGGTGTTTACGCGCGCTGCGGACATCGGTATTACCTTCTAGGACACCTCTGATGTAGACAGACTCTTTACTAATGCGGTCAGCTTACGGCTATGTGCTGCCTCGGTCTTCATCGGTAAATGCGCCTGCGATGCTCGGGCATCAGCTTCACGTGGGGCTGCCCACGTATTCCTCCATTCAGGAACCCCTTTGATGCTTAACCGAGGTTTTATAGCCCGGGGAACAATCTAGAGGCGGACCTGGTATTTGAGAATAATGGCATCGTAAGAATAAGGAGGGTAATATTTAAAGACGATACTATTCAAGGGGTAGAAGACTCGCCTTAAGTGAAAAGTTTATACCCTAAGTAACAACGACGCACCTTACACGCTTAACTCAGCACACCGGCGTAACCATGGGCGTCGTCACCAATGGCAACAAGAATGGGACCCTCTTTTCTACCGACATTCTCGCTCTTGCGCTGGACATTGTGAACCATGCGGCCAATATGAAGACGCTGCTCGCCTCCCAGAACCTTCCCACTCCCAACTTTTCGCCTGACTCGCCCGAGCTGCCCGACACACCCGAATATGCCGCCCTGCGCAGCAGACTCGTGGCCTCGCTCGACGATCTACGCCTGCTCGTCGTCGGCCCGCGGACCACGATGCGCAGCCTGATAGGCTCGAGCAACGACCTGGCCGCCCTCCAGGTCGCCTTTGAGTTTGGCTTCTTCACCATTGTGCCCGTGGCGGAAGCAGAGAGCATCGCCGTAGAAGACGTCGCCCGGCAAGCGGGCATGGACGCAGGTCGAGCGCGGCAGGTGCTGAGGTTCCTATGCACGCATCGCATCTTCCGGGAGGTCAAGGACGGCTGGTTCGCACACACGGCAAGTAGCGCGGCCTTTGGGCGGGACGAGAACCTGATAGGGCTCGGACAATATTCGTGAGCTTCCTTTCCTCCTTCCCCATCACGTCTCCAAGAGCTTTTCATTTACAAGAACTTACGTGGTTGACGCGCAGAATGGATGATATGTTCAAGTCCGCCTCCTTCGACGGCCGACTGCATCAAGGCGTCCTCTCAAGTCTCGGACCTCGTCCATTCACCCTTTACGACGCGTCTGGGTACGACCATGTTTGAGTACTACGAGAAAAACCCAGAGCACGCTACTCGGTTTGCCACGGCCATGGCGGGTGTTACAACCAGTAAGTCTGGAACCTTCTTCTTTTGACCGCAATACGATGGCTAAAACCTGACCCCTCAGTCGACCGTAAATCTAGCACACTCGGTGATGTGTTTCTATGGGACACCCTAAGGGGCACAGTGGTCGACGTGGGCGGCGGCAGCGGACACGTCTCGATCGCGCTGGCGCGCCGGTTCCCGCACCTCTCCTTCCGCATTCAGGACAGCGAGAAAATGCTCGCCCAGGGCCGGCGTGTCCTCGTCAAGGAGGACCCGGCCGTGGCCAGCCGCATCGAACTGCTGCAGCACGACTTCTTCCAGCCGCAGCAGCCCGGCGGCAACGCCGTCGCGGCCTTCTTCCTCCGCCATGTCTTCCACAACTGGGCCGACGCCGACTCGACGGCCATCCTCCGCGCGCTCGTGCCCGGCCTCGAGGCCGCGCCCGCGGGAACGCCCATCCTCATCAACGACAGGGTGCTGCCGTGCCTGGGTGACGGGACGCCGCTGCACGAGGAGCGCGCGATGCGTCGGCAGGACATCATGATGCTGGTGGGACTGGGCGCCAAGGAGCGCACCCGCGCCGAGTGGGAGACCCTGTTCCGGGCGGCCGACGAGAGGCTCGAGCTGAAGAGGGTGCACGCGCAGGGGCAGTCGGCGCTGTTGGAAGTTATGCTGAGAAAATAAGCCACTGTGTGCGTGTATGATAAGAGAGGTACCTCGCGGTTCCGCTTGCCGCGTGCCAAGACGATGAGGGGAATTCGGTTTAGTACCTAGATTGGTAGATGATCTTTCTTTTTGTGTGCGGACACCCAGGTTCAACACAGTCCTTTATTGGCTCGAACTGAAAAATGTTATCTGATACTAATTATCCTTGATGGTTTAATAGCACGCACGTAACCTGGTTTAATGATTTTAATGTAATCCCTCGCTGTGAACTTCCTTCTTTTAGCGAAAGTAAAGAGGTATAAAGGGGACTAAATAAGTTGTCAACAAACTCTTTCATTTAGAGTTTCTAAGTTTAATTTTTAACTCTCGATAGGCATTAATGTCGTCGACATCCATAAAATTACAAACGTCTAATTTCATGTAAGACCGTGGCTCGAACTTTTGGGTTTGAAATTAATGTACAGAGACACAACCGAGGCAAACGATTCAAGCTACCTTTGAGGTCGTTCACCACCCTATTCACCCCCTTCCCTAGAATCGTTTAACCTGACTTAAGCCCCGTGCCGAGTTGATTAATCTATCCAGCAACCACGTAACGTTCAGCCAGCTCGCCCACCGCACCGACGGAGCAAACGCCCCGTGCCAGATGACGCCCCTAGCCCCGCCGAGAATATCCTTAACCAGCTTTTCGGCGAGCACATCGACGTTCGTAGCCTGGCGCTGGTGGTCCATCCGCTCCTTCCACGCCGCGTCCTGGACGCCGTGGTAGTACGACGTCTCGGGCAGGTCCATGGGACCACCGGGCTTACCAAACATGGGCGTGTCGGCGGACCCGCACATGGACGTCACGACGCGCACGCCCAGCGGCTCGAGCTCGACCCGTAGGGTTTCCGACATGCGCGCTACGGCGGACTTGGAACTGGCGAAAATGCCTGATCGAGAGCGCGCGCGCGTCGCCGGGTTAGCCTGACTGCCCAGGGGGGAGAGAGAGAGAGAGAGAGAGAGTTGGAAGCGCTGGCCGACGGAGACTTACCCGCCCACACCATGTTCAGAGCCCCGTCGATGGAGCTCTGGTTGAAGACAACTCCCTTGGCCTCGATAAGCAGGGGCGCAAACGCCTGGACCATGGCGAGAGGGCCCCAGACGTTGACGTCGTACAGCCTCTTCGCCTCGGCGACGTCGGTGTCCAGCAGTGGACTGTTGAATTCGACGCCGGCGTTGTTCACCAGGACGTCGAGGCGCCCGCCCGTGCGTTTCGCGACTATCTCCTTGCAGTGCGCGATGGTCTTTGGGACGGTCACGTCTAGCTCGAGGATCTCGATGTCGCTCAGCTCGGCGAGGTCGGCGGTCTTGGAGGGATTCCGCGCTACAGCGAAGACATAAAACCCTCGCTGGTGAAAGTTCTTGGCCATGGCCCAGCCGATGCCGCCGGTGCTGCAGCCCGTGATCAAGATCGTCTTCTTCAGTACAGTTGCCATATTATAGTGGTTATTGGTGTGAAAGACGGCGAAATGGATGATACGTTTTTTTTTGACAATAATAATAAGCGGAAGCTCCAATCTTGCACAGCAGCTGATGGAATTTTATCTAAGAAAGAGCTGAAACGTTATTTGTAAGCATAAGTAATAATCTCTCTTGCCTCGGATAAGTCCGAACACGCTGAGAAGGTGATTCTCGTGGTGTGTAAAGGAAGAAAATAAAGAGCACCGCAACACCATTGTATCAGCGCCATTAGGAATCGAACTTAATACGAACTAAATACCTCTTACGACAAAGGATGCTTATATTTCTTACTATGAAATCGCTATGTATGTAACCGAGCTAGCCATATGTGGTCTAGCAAATAGCCACTTCCATAACGCTAGGTTGAGGAAAGTAGGGCGGGGCGGGAACAGTAACTCGAGAATTAGAGTATTTATAAACGCCTTTCTTATAGTAATAAATAACTACTACTACTATTATATCCACCGTCTATAATAAATTATAATATTCTTCTTATAGTATACTACTTCTGACATATGTATATAACCTCGAAGATATCTTCTCGAATATATACTCGAATAATACCTATGTCAGCTAATCCCCGAACTATATCTTTAAGTTTATTCTATCGGGTAATATTGGGGCGGAACTGGATCTTTCGCCTGCTTATGAGGAGCATGCAGCGAGGTCATGGCAAAGGAATCAGCGGGCAATTTTTCCGTCGGAGATGAGGATTCGATCGCTGATTCATGTTTGATGGTACAAAGGGCTCGAGGCTTTGGCATGAGGTTCGATGAAGAACGGGGTATCCAACGATTGAGCGAATCGTGAAGACATGAGAAGGAATAGATAACTTCCGGCACCAGGGTGCTTCGAAGGCTCTACAAGTCAAAGCGTTCCTCTAGTGTGGGTGGACAAAATCGCTGCGAGTTGGCTTTGGAGCCGAAATCGACTAGCACCCGGGAGAGCAGTCTAGACACCGAATCATTCAAGTCTATCGTCTATCGAGGTACTCCTCGACAGGGCCTAGAAGAGAAATTTCCCTGGGCAATCAAGCGAAGATTGTGGAATCTCATTCACAGAGAATTTACCTCGAGGCAAAATTGTCAAGGCTTGATGAACAGTACCAGAGACTGCTCGCCACCCAACTATTCTTTCATGCATACTGCAGCACAAAGTGACACTGGAACGACACTCCTGTGAGGAAGTGAGCCTGGACTACCATTCCCCCGAGCCTTCAAAAAACCCGAATCGCGCAGAAGCGGCGATCAAGTATGAGCTATCATCTTTCATGTTTCACTCATTGAACGGCTCACATGCCCATAGTACACATGTACTCGACGATCAGTGCGCGGTTTATGATGCTGCTCTCTGGCAATGCGCCTTGTGATATTTCCAGTCCGCCTTCTGGCAATCAACAGAACAGTACTGCACACTCCTGCAGGTTGCGCACTTCTTGACTGGAATATCCTTACCGCACATCTCGCAGCCGGAGACCAGAGCTGGGAGATCGGCGTTTTCCTCTGCCACGGCTTGGCGTGGGCCCCCTTTTGCGGCGATACCTGGCCCATATTAGCATGGAATCACAGTCAACGGATTGAACACCAGCCATTTACCCAGCATAGCCATAATCAGAGCTTGAGAGCCACTCTCGTTGTTCACATCACCAATGTAGGCGATGTGGCCCTGTCCATGCTTCTGCCAAACCGCTGGAGTCTGCGCCGTGTCGACCCTGTCAGGCGGGAAGACAGCAGACTGAACCCGCGAATGATCGGTTGGGACGTAGACCTTGTCGGCAGCGTGAACATTGCCCAAGTGCACAGCTTTCATGCTATATGACTGCTCGAGCGTCTTGAAAGCCTCGTTGTCAAAGACATTTGCGAAAGCAGGATTCAACGCAAAGACTGTGCGGTGATAGTCTCCCCAGTCCCAAGGCAGATTCATACTCCGGCACATGCCGGCAAATTCGGGTCCGGAAACGAAGCTGCTGAACAAACAGGCGAGAATGACTGTGCCGCCAGCTTTGGCATACTCGGAAAGCCTTACTTGGATGGTTGTCCTGTGCTTCTTTCTGGAAAGGCCACCGTCGGTGACAACAATAGCTTCTGAGTGGGCCAGATGCTCCGTAGTCAAGGAACTGGTCTTGATGACTGTGTAGTGCTCCTCAATCTTGGTGCAAAGGCCAGAGTAAAGGTCGTCGAAGATCTCTTTTTCATACGCCTCGCCGAGTTGAAGCAGGAGAATCTGGGGCTTTGTCACCGACATTATTTGGGCTCGTTAATCTTGTTTCTATGTATAGACAGTGGTCGAGTAGATACCGAAGGGTAATTCGATCAAGAAGTAGAGGGAAAGAAGAAGAGACCCAGAGAGCTCGCCCGTAACATGAATTAAATTGCACCGAGGCGGAATTTCTGGAGCCGGATAAATCTCCAACAGTCCAACGTGCGCTCAAAGGATGGTTAGAGAATCCTATAAACAGCCGAGCAGAGTAATTCGCAAATTCGAAATGCTGTGATCAAAGCCTTCGTTGTCGAGTCATAGAAGTTGATAGAAAATCATTTTGGTTCCCCATCAGACACAAACAATCCGAAAATAAACTAGCGCCAAAATGTCCTGATCGCCACTGTCATGGCGGAAGAGCACGAGCCATTTATTAAACATTCATTTCCCCATCCCCAACGTCTTTCCCCACTGACCACAAATACTTAAAGGTCCATACCAACCAAACCCACCCTCTTTTCACACCATCTCCACACACCACCGAGCAAGCAACAAACCCAACAAGACTCCATCCCTCCACCATGGCCTCCAAACTCCTCGCCCCTTCCCTGCGCGCTTTCCGCCAAACCTCACCCCTCCCACCCCTCCGCCCCTCCCGACCGTTCCGATCCTCAGCTCGCCTGCAAGACGCGACCGCCACCGCTCTGCCCGTGCGGAAGCCCGTCGGTGCTTTCAGAGGAGGGTGTGTGAAACCCCCCCCGCCCCCATCATCCCTCCCCCATGAATCCTAAATCCTCTCATTTGGTTGGCTGGCCGTCTGCACAAAAGGACCATGTGGCTGACAGACCGGTTGCGCGGGTGCAGGATGTTCGGCTTCCTGCTCGGGTCCACGCTCGCGGGCGCGGGGACCTATTACTACATCCTGGAGGAGTACAAGGTGTCGAACGAGCTGCTCACGGAGGATATCTATGTCAGTAGGGATTCTATTGATGAGCTGTACGAGCGCGTGGCCGTTTAGACGCACGCGTGCATGCGTTCCTGCGGCCTTTTGAAAGGCTTCGCGTGGCATTATATTTGCGCTGCATCTTACATACGGGGGTTCAATAGACGATGGTAGACGGCTGTACGATTATAACGGCGTGCATGCATGCGGTGGGCGTTTACGAAACTCCGGGGCGGTAATAACGGGAGAGTTCGAGGGCGCCGGGACTCCTGAAGCATGCATTTGTGGGACTATAGATTGGGGCATGCTCGTCGATAGACTTTCAATGAGATCACCTTTTCTTCACTCTTTCCGGAGACCACAGGCTGATTTGTCTTGCATTGACGCAGGCTCTTCAAGCGGCGGTACAGAAGATCCATGCGTATGTCGCGACGCTGGAGGACAAGATGGAGGCAATGGAGAAGAAAAAGAAGTGAGGGTCGTATACCGGGGAACGAAAAATCGGGAACGGTGGCTCCCACCAGCTTCAATGTCGGAATGTCTAAAGCTATGCGTCTCTCGACTCTGCGATTCATAATGTAAAGGTACAGCTGGAGTTCGGGGCCTTGGAACATTTCGTCTCATCAGCCTCAGGCATCGTACACATATGTACCAAGCCAGTCAAGACAGACTATTTAAAGTCCAATACGCTAAGTCAGATGTGCATTCTAGCCTGTTATGATTGAGCTTCTACATCCATATCAATTTACGCAGCAATGCCTCAGTTTTTGAGCTTTCTTTGGACCACTCGCTTAAAACATTCTCGAGAACCGTCTTCACAACGTTTAGGTCACGATCTGGATCGACTTGCCAGTTGGAGACTGCAATGCGGCTCGCTGGACAATGATCCCACACGGTCCCCGACACATACATCTTGGAGCTCGCGTTGATCCTTTTGACAAGCGTGTCATTCAGAGCTTTGTTCTTGGCCTTGAAGAGCACGATGATGAAGATACTCTTCTCGATGCTGGCTCTGTTACTGAAGACGTCCGTGGGAAGAAGTTCGAAGTCTGTATGATCAAAGAGATGCGCAGCCACCGCTCGTGCGAAGCGGATCTGTCTCTTGAGCATGTCTGCATACCCCTCACGGCCGTAAGCCATGAGAGTCGCATAAACTGGTAGGCCTCTGAAGCGTCGCGAGTTCTCTATGCCAACGTTCATTGGCGACTGTATCGAGTCTGTGGCCGAGTTTTTGGTGTTCAGATAGGCGGCGTTTGGATTTTGAAAGACTTGCTGAGCAATGCCTGGGTGACGGCAGAAGAAGAAGCCACAATCATAAGGTACGTTCAGAAGCTTATGCCCATCGCCACCGATCGAGTCTGCTAAAGTCAAACCTTGGGCACCTTGCGCTACGGTCTCAAATTCGGGCGATCCATCCAGAAGTCTTGCGAAAAGCCCAAATGCTCCGTCGACGTGCAGCCAGGCACCATACTCATCACAAAGGTTCCTTAAGGCTTGGACTTCTGCAATACTGTGGGTTGCGAACAGACCCGTGTTGACCTCCCCACACGAGACCACGACAATCGAAGCACTGTTATGATGGCCCGACTTCAGTTGCTGTTCTAATTTCTGCAAATCGAAGGTAAGATAGCCATTGGATGTTCCAACACCATGAACGCAAGCGCGGCCTAGTCCCAAAATACTCGAAGCCTTGAACAGAGAGGAATGTGCCATGGTGGTAAGAATTTCGATTTCCTCCACGCCGGCCATACGACAGGCTTTGAGCAAGCCGAGCGACCCAACGCTCTCTTCCGAGTCAGGCCCCAAGCGTCTCTTGATGCGTTCATTGATAATATGCTCGCGGCCGCAAGCCAGTCCAAGGACATTACTCGCCGTAGCTCCTGTACTGAAAACTCCAGACCACTCATTTTCGTCAAAACGTAGGAGATCCATCAGGAGCCGCAGGGCCTTGTCTTCAACATTACTGGCCACCGTTTGATCTGGCAGGTGGACTGAAGGATTCTGATCGTAGGTTGAGACTAGATTGTCTGCAACTCTAGCTGCTGGCGTGACGCCTCCCACAACGAAGCCATAGTAGTTTGGAGAGAGGCTGGACGCATTGAGGGCGGGAGCAAGGTCTTGCAAGAGATGATTCGTGGCCTGTTCTATCCCCCGGCCATGCTCTGGGACAGTTTGAAGGAGGGCGGACCTTGTGTTTTCAAGTATCGCCGATTCTGGCAGTACTGGATTGGACCGCTTTTGTAAAAGCTCCAACGAGTGGGCGTAGGCATTTTCCAAACAGGCAATGTCCTTGTCATCTTCCATCATGGTATCGACAGTAACCTCTGGTACAAGGCCTGAGATGTCCTTGCGAAGATCATGAGGAAAGGGAGGCATACCCCAGTCATACACCTCAGATTGTTCGGAAATTAAACCCTTGCTTTTATGCAAATTCCAGTAACAATCTCTCACAGAAGATTAAGAATCAACAATTGCCCGACAAACAACAGAACGTAAAAAAAAGTCCGCACACTGAGCACATATTGAGTCATCCTATTTCACATTAGTGATCAGGCTTTCTTGAACATCCTTGTTGTGACTAGGCGGTCCGTACGTAGCCGCATGAAAATTGAAATTTTGTTGGCGTGTCTTGAATAACAAGCCAAGAGTATGCTGTATGAGAGTAGATTCAGATTACGACTTGCCTCAAGACTGCAGTCATAGAATCCACCTCACGTGTTTAACACACAACTGTCCAAAAAAGGTGGCAATTTGCAACTTCTTCATTTCACGTTATTTGGGTATCCATTTGGAAGATCTTTCTTGGGAATAATGTTGATCAGCGCAAGAAGTTCTTCGTCAATATTGATTCGGTCTGATTGTTGAAGACGTTTACCATTTCGACTGATACATTTTCTTGCACCTAGCTTGACCAGAGTGGTGGGAATGTTTGCAGAAGATCATTGTCTCCAATCCGCCGGCGGAAGGCTTGAACCGTGCATCAGAAACAATTTGCGGTTTGAATACTGTGGCAGACTTTAGCTTGTCATTTCACTACGAACCAAAATACTTCTATCTGCCTTGATAATATGCAATATATCACTTAACGTAATAACTACTATATACCGACTCAGTGATTTGCGAAGATTGAAGAAAACCCATGGATGTATCTACCTGTGAGATCAATTTGATGGGATCATTTTGCGTCTGATATCTGTCAGTTCGGTCTATGTGTACAACTGTACGCGATTTTGTGAGTCGCGAGTCGCGAGCCGCGACACCGTACCTAAAGTGCTTTAGATTTCAAGATGTGTAAAGTAAGAGACTACTCGTATATACCCGGTACTGGCCGCTAACTGGTAATGCACGGTCTAAAATCCGATAAATCCGGGGGGGATCTTGGGATAAGGTACCCTCTCAAAGACTCACCCTAGTCTACCCCCGCTTCGTTACGCGACATAGGGCTTAAAGAATTCAGGCAGACTTTATTACACTATTATATAACTTTATCAATATAACTTCGATTTCAAAAATGCTAGAAATTTTAGAAATCTTATTCTACGATTATAATTTTATTTTTTTGTATTTTTATTACACTGTTATGGAAGGACGAATTACTAAAGTTACAACTTCATCGGATTTCAGACCGTGCATTACTAGGTAGCGGGTATTACCGGGTATATACGAGTAAGAGTTAGAGTACTTGGCGGCGCGGTAACGGCGCGTATGACGAACCTGAAAAAGTGAGCTTTGAACTCGAAGTAAGCCTCACCATTAGGTATGTCGCAAGTATCTAGCCTGGGTCTGCGACCTTCACAGGCACTTGCAGCAAAGAGACTGACTCGACCTCAATAATGTCCGACTTTGAAGTAGAAATCCAGCACGAGGCGCCGCTGCCAAGTCAAATGACCCTTCCAGACGCCCAAAATGGCAGCGGCGAACCGGGCAACGAGAACATCGCGTTGGAACTACTGGAAATCCCCCCGGAACAACTCAAGAAACGCAGACCTTGGTCCTCTCAAGGTTTTAAGTCAATCCTATCTCCATCTCCATTATTTATCGACTCTCGGCGGGCCTCCAAGGATGACCTCAGCGTTGCATCCGGTCCCGTCACCCCCAAACGACCCAGTGTCGTTCCTCGTGGTCTGAGTCTGCAGATGCCACCCAGAGATATCAGCAGCACAAGTACAGCAAATTTGACCAAGCGCGTCCCCGTCTCGCCCAAACCAGAAACAGCAGCAGCGTCATACCCTTCACCTTCCTCTGTGCTACCCAGGAGATCGCGGGGAATGGACTTTTCAAGAGCTGCGACAAACCTACATCATTCCACATTGGCCGAGTCGTCTCCAGAATCTTCTCCCATTGTTGGGTCTCGAGGCAGCATGATTCCGCGGAAAGGCCTTTTTAGCCCACCAAGCAACCCTAGTGTTCCAGAATCACCAAATAGCGTACCAAACTCGCTTTGGCCTACGATGGCAACCGCGGAAAAAACCGGGCTGTCAAGTTCTGTGGGAAGTTCTAGTATGATGGAGTACGATTCAGGCAGCACATCCTCAGATGGAGATGAAGTGATGGACAACGGAGAAGACGATGATACTATTCACATGACACCACACATCAATCAGCTCGGAAATGCATTTGGCAATCCCTTCGGCTCAGTCGCATCAAGCCCTGGTGGAGACGGGATCGGTGCATTCTCTCCCGCAGCTTCAAAATTGATGAGCTACCAAAGACATCGGGTAAAGTCGCGGAGAAAAAGGATGAGCTCAAGTAGTGCCAGTGGACAAAGCTCCTTGCATAGCCCAGGGCCGTCCTCACCTCCTCTGCTGAGAAGCATTGAGAGCAGTCTGAGCATGAATGGAGGATACTTTCTCGAGGATCCATCAAAGAAAGAGATTATTTCAAGACGAGAAAGCCTCAGTCTGGGCACCAATGACATGCAACTGTCTGATGCGGAGCAAAGTGATGGCGAGGGGCTTTTTCGGATGCATTCACATGAGGAGGTGCCGATCCCAGCACCAGTGACACCAACTATGGATGATCGGAGGAATGTCATTCGAAGGGCAGTGACACGAAGGGGGAATATGCTGGTATGTCCGCATCCTGTGATAAACACAATTATCCGTTCTGTAATGCTTTGTAGTCATATGCTCACACAATGTCTAGCCGAAACCCAAAGGCTTTGCACGCATCCGAGCTGCGCTTCTTGAAGAAGGAGCGCCCATCGACAGTGAGGTCCGCAGAGAAGCTGAAGTGATTCGACAGGTTCGGGAGAGTGATGCCGATAGCGATATTAATCTCCACCCTTCGCAACCAACTACGACAGCGTCGTCGCCAAATCTGACTGCCACAGCCGGTCCATTGGATAGTCTGGAGAACATCTCTGAGGATCCGTCAATGAACGGCGACGATAATTGCAGTCGACGCTCCTCAAGTGCATTCTCACATCAAGCTATCAGGCATTCCGGAGGTTCAACCTTCTGGAATAACTTTGACG